TATACCAATGGGTGATTCAGGTTGAGGTTTGACAGAGAACAGCAAAATTCTGTAAAGCAATTATCCTTCAATAAAAAATAAACTAATTAAAAAAGTAAAAACACTCAACATTGAAGAAAATAAGATCATGGCATTTGGTCCCAAAATCTTCATGGTAAATATAGAAGGGATAAAAAAAAAAAAGAAGAAGAAGCATTGTCAGATATTATTTTCTTGGGCAGCAAAATCACTGCAGATGGTTACTGCTGCCATGAGTTTGAAAGACACTTACTCCTTGGAAGAAAAGCTATGACACACCTAAACAGTGTATTAAAAATTAAAGATATAACTTTGCAGGCAAAAGTCTCTATTGTCAAAGCTATGATTTTTCCTGTAGTCATGTATAGATTTGATGGTTGGACCAGAAATAAGGCTGCTGTTGTTCAGTTGCTCACTTGTTTGTGACTCTTTGGGACCCCCATGGACTGCAGCAAGTCAGGCTTCCCTGTCCTTCATCATCACCCAGAGTTTGCTCAAATTGATGTCCGTCAAGTCAGTGATATCATCCAACAATCTCTTTCTCTTGACCCCTTCTCCTCCTGCCCTCAACATTTCCCAACATCAGACTCTTTTCCAATGAGTCAGCTCTTCATGGGTGGTCAAAGTATTGAAGCTGCAGCTTCAGCATCAGTTCTTCCAGTGAATATTCAGGGTTGATGTCTTTAGGATTGACTGATTTGATCTCCTTGCTGTCCAAGGGACTCTCAAGAGTCTTCTCCAATGCCACAGTTCAAAGGCATCAATTCTTTGGTGCTCAGCCATTTTTTTATTGTCCACCTCTCACATCCATACATGACTACTGGAAAAACCATAGCTTTGACTATATGGACATTTGTTGGCAAAGTAATGCCTGCTTTTTAATGTTATCTAGGTTTTGTCATAGCTTTTTTTCCAAAGAGCAAGTGCCTTTTAATTTCATGGCTGCAGTCAGCATATGCAGCGATTTTGGAGCCCAAGAAAATAAAATCTGTCACTGTTTCCATTGTATCCCTATCTATTTGCCATGAAGGGATGGGACCAGATGCCATGATCTTAGTTTTTTTAATGTTGCGTTTTAAGCCAGCTTTTTCACTCTTTTCTTTCACTTTCATCAAGAGGATCTTTAATTTCTCTTTTCTCTGTCCAGTTAAAGTGCTATCATCTACATATCTGAGGATGGTGATATTTCCCCTGGCAATGTTGATTCCAGCCTGTGAGTCTTCTAGCCCAGTTTTTCCCATGATGTACTCTGCATAGAAGTTATATACACAGGTTGACAATACACAGTCTTGATGTACTCCTTTCTCAATTTGGAACCAGTCTGTTGTTCCATGTATGGTTCTAACTATTGCTTCTTGTCCTGCATACAGTCTTCTCAGGAGACAGGTAAGGTTGTCTGGTAGTCCTTTCTCTTTAAGAATTTTACACAGTTTCTTGTGATCCACACAGTCAAAGGCTTTATTGTCATCAGTGAAGCAGAAGTAATTTTCTGGAATTCTCTTGCCTTTTCTATGATCCAGTGGATACCGGTAATTTGATTTCTGGTTCCTTTGCCTTTTCAAAATCCAGTTGTACACCTGGAATTTCTTATTTCTCATACTCCTGAAGTCCAACTAGAAGGATTTTGAGGATAATCTTGATAGCATGTGAAATGAGTGCAATTGTCTGGTAGTTTGAATATTCTTTAGCATTGCCTTTCTTTAAGATTGGCATGAAAATTGGCCATTTCCTGTCCTGTGGTCACTGCAGAGATCCAAATTTGCTGGCATATTTAGTGCAGCTCCTTAGCAGCAGCATCTTTTAGGATTTGAAATAGTTAAACTGGAATTCCATCACCCCCATTAGCTTTGTTTATGATAATGCTTCCTAAAGCCCACTTGACTTCTCACTCCAGAATGTCTGCCTCTAGATGTCTAGCCACACCGTCAAGGCTATCCAGGTAATTAAGAACTTTTTTGTACATTTCTTCTGTGTATTCTTGCTTGATCTCTTTTGCTTTTGCTATCTCCTTGCTATTTCTGTCCTTTACTGTGCCCAGTTTTGCATGAAGCATTTCTTGGTATCTCTAATTTTCTTGAAGAAATCTCTAATATTCCCATTCTATTATTTTCCTCTGTTTCTTTGCCTTGTTCACCTATGAATGTTTTCTTATTTCTCCTTACTATTCTCTGGAACTCTACATTCAGTTGGGTATATCTTCCCCTTTTTCTTCTGCTTTTCACTTCTCTTCTTTTCTCAGCTATTTACAAGGCCTCCTCAGACAACTGCTTTGACTTTTTGCATTTCTATTCCTTGGTGATGGTTTTGGTCAGTTTCTTTGCATCATTATAAAGCTTTTTAATATTTAATATGCATGAGATCAGTAACAATCACTTCTTTTTCACTTTTGATTGTATTAATCTGTATTTTCTCCCCTAACATCTTGTTTAACTTGACTAGGAGTTCAGTAATACAAATGAGTTTTCCTTCCCTTTTCTTTTTTCCATTAGGAGAGTTGTCTATTAGTCTTTTAAGCCACTTAAAGGGGTAAAACAGACTGCTTGTCAAATATCTCTGAATGTTATTTCAAATGATAATTAACTTCATTTGGTTATTCGCCTACATCCTTAATGACAGTAAAAATTAATAGTCTTCCTGTGCTGTTAGGCATTTCCTCCTTTGCCTTTTCACCCATTTTTACCCCTCTTTCATAAATTGAACTATATTAATGATTTCATTTTTAGCAGGGATTTAACTTAGTTTTTTTTTTTAACTTCTTTTTATTTAAAATGTTTATTTATTTAGAGATAATTAACCTTTTCACATTTTTTTAATTTTTTATTTTTTTTGCCTTTTCACATTTAAAAATGCATTTTTAAAAATGGAGATAGTTGTTTTGAAATATTATGTAAATTTCATGTGTGCAACATGCTGATTCACAATTTTTTAATGTTGTATTCCATTTATAGTAATTTAAAAGATTGGCTACACTCCTTGTATTATACTGTGTATTTTTGTAGCTTATTTATTCTATACTTATACAAATTATGCAAGTAATTTGCATCTCTTTTACCACTTTCCCTATTTGCCCCTTTGAACATTCATTTCTTCACTAACTTATTAACCATTAATTTATTTTTTACACCTGTGAATCTTTTTTCTCTGGTTTGTTTCATTCATTTTTAAAATTTTTTTGATTTCACATATTTTTTAGATTTTCACAGTTATCATACAGTAACTGTCTCTGTCTTATTTTGCTTAATATAATACTTTCCAGGTCCAGGTCCACACTCTTAATTTTCACTTTTGCACTTCTGCTTACTTGTCATAGTTTTCTAAAGGCAAACTTGTATTATTTCTTTACACATTGCCCCAATAACTCATAATCAAAGAAAATTATTTCGTTTTCATTTTGTGGTAATATTATATTAATTCTGTTTGAAAAAATGTAATCCATTCCATAAGAATATAATTTAAGAATAGGAGAGAGCTTAATGGTAATCACATTTCTCTATCACCAACTGGAAAAGATATTTTCTCATGGACTTAGGAAATATATAGAGCTCTTTGTTGTTGTTGAGTTGCCAAGTCATGTCTGACTCTGCGACCACTTGCACTGCAGCATGCCAGGATTCTCTGTCCCTCACCAACTCTCAGAGTTTGCCTAAGTTCATGTCTATTGAATTGGTGATGCCACCCAACCATCTCACCCTCTGTTGCCCGCTTCTCCTTCTGCCTTCAATCTTTCCCAGCATCGGGGTCTTTTCCAATGAGTCACCTGTTCAAATCAGGTGGCCAAAATATTGGAGCTTCATTACATTAACCAAGAGTAGTACTTTAATCAGGCCAAGCCGGAAATCAAGACAACAAAGTCAAATCCTCTTATCCTGCATCTAGTTAGACATAACTACTATCCCAAGGCAACCAATTTTCTTATTGAAACATTGAAGTTGAGGGGTTCATTAACTACAGGAAACAAGCTTTGACACATTTTTGCAGTTATCAAATACTAACTCCCAGGATCATTTTCTTGGCTATGAATGAGGGAGATAGAAACTTCTGTGAAAAAGACAATGGGAAGAGAAAGCAAATATTGTAGACTTGCTAATAAAGGAAAACTAAGGTAAAACAATTTAATATATTGCCATTTCCAAGATACACTCCAAAGTGTCAGTGTCTCACACCATTCTAGATTCTGAGTTTACTGTGTTCTTCATGTCTGTAGAAGAGAACATTCCTGCATGAATTGAGAGAGTCTGAATATAAATATGAATTTTATCAGGATAGCTTAATTTGCCTTCAGAGAACATAGTTTTCCTTTTCAAATATGGTTGGCAAAAATAAGCTAATCTTCAGTTAAAGGATCTAATTTTCAGGAGATATTATCAAAGGAAAAATAAAATAAAGTTTATCCCTTCTACTGCAAAGAAATTGCTTTTATTTTCTGGGGAAAATAATGAAAAATAAATATAGCCTCATTTTAAATAGCAAATTTAATGATACTGACAACATATTCTATATTAAATTTCTATTTTATTTTCCAACATGCTTTAATTATTTTATTAATAAATTCAAGGAGATATTTTAATCATGCTTCTAAATATTATAACATGTTTTCTTGGTGACATATGACATTTTTATTAAAATACATATTTTTATTTCACATAAAATATATTTTATTTCTATATGTGGTTTCTAGTAAACTTCTTAAAACAATCTCTGTTTTTGTAAGGCTGCCAAATCTACCTTTCTTTGATATGAGAAACAATGGAGATTACTGACATCTAAAATTCTGTTACATGGGTGAAAACTGATCTTTTTCATGTAACTTAAAAGAGTCAGGACCTTGTTTTTAAGCTAATAAGACAAACGGGCATTGATGATGTATACATCTGTCTAACTGTAAGAATGCAATGAGGTTTTGAAAGAATTTATATAGAGGGAGGCAGAGAGGTTTTCATTCAGCTTTCTTTTTAGAGGTAATTTTTTTAATATGATCGCATTCACTTATTTGAAGAAAAGGCCATTCTCTGTACCATGCTCTTGAAGGCTTGCTGCACTTGCTGATTTCCTGGGTGTATATAAAAGGATTCAAATGAGGAGCCACTGAGGTATTGAGCACAGCAACTCCTTTGTTTAGAGTCACCCTTTCCCTTGCCGAAGGCTTAATGTACATGAGGATGCAGCTGCCATAATACAGACAACTATCATGTGGGAGGAACACGTGGAAAAGGCTTTGTTCCTTTGACTCTTGGAAGGAATTCTCAGAATTGTCTGGATAATATATGTGTAGGAGAAAATAACCAATGTTAGAGTGACCATGAGTGTTACCACAGCTAAAAATAATGCCATGAGCTCTAGAAAGCGAGTGCACGTGCCAGAAAGCTGCAGGATGGGAGAAGCATCACAGATGAAATGATCAATTATATTGGAGGCACAGAAATCCAATCGCAGCACCAGGATTATTGGTGGAAAGATGATCAGGAATCCTGCAAGCCAGGAGCTAAAGACAAGAAGTATACAGACACTACTGCTCATGATCGTGGTGTAATGTAGAGGTTTGCAGATGGCCACATAGCAGTCATAGTACATGGCAGCCAGGAGGTAAAATTCTGTCACCAAGAAGATAAAGAAAAACAGCTGAGCCACACAACCGTTATAAGAAATTGTTCTGTCTCCAGTCATGATCACGACAAGGAATCTGGGAATGCAGACAGACGTGAATGATATTTCTAGGAATGAGAAGGAAGGAAGAAATACATTGGAGTCTGCAGATGGGGATCTGAAAGGGTGAGGGTGATGATGACCAGGTTCCCAGTCACGCTCAGCATGTAGGTAGCAAGAAGAAATAGGAACAGTACAACCAGCCACTGTGGATCATTTGTCAATCCAAGAAGGATAAACTCGGTTACTTCTGTGTAATTTCTCATTACTTACCTTTATTATAATGATATTCTTTGTGTTAGCTGTAAAACAGATGAAGAAATAAAAAAAAAAAAAATGGCACCAGCAAAGAAACACACACACACACACACATACACACACAATATTGCTTCCTTGTACTTTTAGGGGAAAGTGTTTTAGTAGTATATAGTAACAAAAGACTTTTAAAGTTTTCCAATTTATTATGTCATGTATTAATTCACTATCCTGTACTTCCTTCATTGTTCTCTCACACAGATCAGTAAAAGAAAAATATTCTGAATGCTTCAATATACTCCTGAAAAAAAAAGAGAAAAGGAGGCTCAAATCTCTGACTTCAAAACTTCAATTAAAACTGAGAGCTTACTTCCAGTATACTCCAATATTATTGAAGATATATTTTATTGCTTTCTGTTCCATGCAAATTTTAAATTTTTCTATTTTGCTTCTTTCCTCTTTTACTTTTGTTTGTATAATAACTCTTGATACCATACAGAGTTTGTTTAGTTATTTGATCCTTATTTAATATTATTTTCCACTAAAACTTTAAATGTGTTGTCATCTAATTCTTTTTAATAGTTTATGTCTAGAAATACTGCCTAAGTCTGCAATGCCTTCATGTGTTTTCTATAGTCTTCAGAGGTTTCAGAGATTTCAAAAAATACTATTTTCTCAGTATCAGTCAATTAATTCAATATGTTAATAAACTTACTTAGATTTTTTACCTATAAAATGTCTGAGAGGATATATTCCCACTTTCAGTCTTCTCTTTCTGGTCATAAAATAAGCAGTTTTTTTTTTTTGTCTTTTGCCTTTATATGATGAATGCTAACTTTCCCTATATATAAAATGTGCAAAGCTCGTATTTAAAGAATATCTGTAATTGTTAAAACACATCAAGTGTATTATTTTGAATAATGTACAAAAATGATTACATGGTGTCTTGATATTTATTATATTAAAAATGATTATAGAAAGATATGTAGACAAGAACACAAAAAATCATGAAAGTCCTGTTAATCACAAAATATTTATGCTACAATGAATAAAAATGCTGCATAAAATTATTAAAAAGTAGCTTCAAAATTTTCTTTATATAGTGCATATAAACTGTGTGGTTTAATTTTATTTATACATAGTAAATAATTGAGATTACTTGTATAAGCATAATTATATACTATTAAGGCCAATTTTTGTAAAAAGCTATCAAAGAAGTACTTACTTTTATGGTAAATATGGCTGGTTAGTCAATATCACTTGTAATAGCTTTAATTTCCTTCAACTAAATACTTTGGGAATTTTTAAAAGCTTTTGCAAACTGTTTCCCCTCTGTCGCATATATTTGTAACCAAATAACCAAAATATCAATAATGAAGAATAACTGTAAGACTCCCCTCTACAATGTTTACAAAAAGGGTATGTATCAAGACACTTCTAAATAGTAAAGCAAGCTTCTCCAAAGATCTCAGCTCCCAGGATTATTTCCTCCCTATTGTCACTTAAAGAAGTATTATCTTAGCACTTGATATAATTGAAATGAAAGCTGATGTAGTGTATTTTCAAGCTTGGTGAGCAAGATGATACAAATTTTATGCAGAAGTAATATTCAAGTTAGCCATACTTTTATCTGCTCTATTGCAATGGACTCAGGGGGATTAATTGATGAAAAAAAAAAGGCACAATGGAGATTGGTCTCAAGACACCAACCACTAAACAGTGGTCCAAATTAGTAAACAATTTCAAATAAAATATTTAGGTGAGAGTGGCCTGAAATCGGAGCAGGAAAATATATAGAAAGATATACCTTTTCATAGTAATCCATAACTTCATAAGGAGTAGAAACAGTAACCAAGCAGTAGAGATAAGCAGGTCTTAAGTGGCAACAGACTAGGCTGTGAACAAGTGAAAGTGTTAGCTGCTCAGTTGTGCCTGACTCTCTGCAACCCCATGGACTGTAGCTCAGCAGGCTCCTCTGTCCATGGAATTCTCCAGGCAAGAATACTGAAGTGGGTTGCCATTCCCTTCTCTAGTGGATCTTCCCCACCCAGGGATAGAACCCAGGTCTCCTGCATTGCAGGTGGTTTCTTTACGGACGGAGCCACAAGGGAAGCCCCATTAAAAAGTGGGTTTTCCTCAAATCATAAAGAAAACATGAAAAATTCATCATGATGTTTAGGACATCCATTATTCTACACTATAAGGTATCAATTATTCTACACTATAAGAGATGTCAGGCTTATCTTAAAGCTTTTATATATTTCCATTGAATGTTGACATACCACTGATTCATTCAATAATTATTTTTGACACTTTTTCTGAGAATATAGAGGTGACAAATATAGCTTTCTACCTAATTTTCACTTCTTACTAAAATGTATGAGAATTCTACATTGTTTTTGAAATCTCAGATTCCCTTTCTCTTGTCCAATATAAGCAATATTCTTTCCCAGAATTTTTTTGCTCACTGCTTTGATCTGAAAAGATGTCTATAATATTCCATTCACGTTAAGTTTTTGAGATTTATATTATGTTGCTTATTAATCCAGGAGTTCATAAAATATATAGGTTAAATTAAATGAAACCTGGGATCATTTAATGATCTTAATAGAAATTCCTGAACAAAGAATTTTAAATTATTTTGCTGTTTCTTTGGGAGACAAATGAAGTTATTCATAGTATATGATTAAGTAATACACAGAACATACTGAAGAAAGAGACTATTAAAGAGAACTTTACTAATGTGACATAAACAGATTCATGCTTAATTATAAATGTCACAATAGCTTTTATCTGATGTTTATCTGTAAACCACAGAGACATTTAAAATTACACATAATGGACAACCTGTCACTAAATAAAGCTACATGGAAAATTAATGTGTAAGTCCTCATCTCAGCTTCCTTACATATGCAAAGATCCTATTTCCAAATAAGGTCAAGGCTTCAGACTCTGGATGGACATGAATTTTTTTTAAGAGCACTGAGCAAACCAGTACAGTACTGAAAACACATACTTCTTAAGACAATGTTAACCAATAATTTATATCTCCATTGAGCATAGCAATTCATGTGCTTTCAAAGTTTCTCATAGAATCAGTTTTTTACCAGTGTTTTTAATAATGGATTATATGAATGTACATTCTCTTAAGAAATGATACCTTAAGACTGGGCTTTGAGAACGATTTTAAGCAGTAAAATCACCAATAAAAATACAGAAATGTAAAAATTACGGCATGAGATAGACCATGAAAAGGGAATGTGTTTAAGATATAAGAGCTCAAAAAAGAAATCAGAGCATTACCTTATTTAACCTCAGCTGGAAATGTGTGTAAAGGATTCTTGAAACCAAGACTTAAAGGAAAACGTTAGGAGAAATGTTTAACAGATGTTTCAATAGCAGCATTTCCCACTTTAATGGTCAACCCCATGTCCTTTATTCCTCTGTTAAAAAAGACACTGGAAAGACCCACTTGTTTCAACTCTGGACATCTTAGAGAATAAAGTTTGTTCTGTTAATGAACTGCTTTATTTTTTTTTAATTAGAGAATAATTATTTTATAATATTGTGATGTCTTTTGCCATACATCAACATGAATCAGCATTAGGTATACATATGTCCCCTCCTTCTTGAACCTCCCACCCACCTCCATCCCCCATCCCACCTTGCTAGGTTGTCACAGAGCACTGTCTTTGAGTTCCTCATGTCATTCTCTCATATCATGTCACCCTCTCCTTCCCCAATCAATAGCTTTGAATATGCTGAATAAATTTCAATCTATCTGTCTCTTTAATCTATATGTTTAAAACTCTGCTTTTTATAAAGGAACTTATGCTATTTCAACTTCTTTTGTAATAAGTTAATTTGAAATTGAAGTGTATTAATCACCTGAGAATCCAATGGTATTTCGCCCATTTAACCCAGGTGACATGGAAAATCCAGAATTTTTGATAAGTGCACTCATTTCAGTAAATTCATCATGATATAAAATTGTTTCTTTTTCTCTATGCCATGAGAATTTGTTCCCATATTTATAGTAAAATAAATCAGCAATAGTTAAAATAATCTAGCATTATGTAAAGCATGGTGACTATAGCTAATAATTCTGTGTTATGTATTTGAAAGTTGCTAAGAGAGTAGATCTTAAAAGTTCTCATCACAAACAATGATTGTAACTATCTGTGGTGGTGGGGTGTTAACTAGACCAATTTTGGTGATTATTTTGTGATTTATACAAACATCTAATCATTATGTTGTACACCTGAAACTAATGCAATGTTATATGTCAATTCTATTTCAATAAAAATAATTTTATAAAGGAAAGAAGACATAAAATAGATGGGATTCTCTCCATTAACATTTTTATGGCCTTGAAAAGACAGCCACTCTATTATCTGATGGTTGGATTATAGTTTAAATCCACAGTGAGTATCCCTGGAGCTCACAGACTTCCTCTACTGGTTCCCAGCTTTGCCAGAATTGTCCTGAGTCCTGTGTGTGTGAAGCACTAGCCTCCTGCAGTCACAGGAGCAGGCCTTGATGCTGTCTCTCCTTTCTGGTGCCTCTGGGAGGAGAATTGAAGAACAAGATCTCTGCCATATTCCCGTTTCCAATGTGTTCCTTCCTGTGACTTCATCTTTGCCCTGCCAGGGAGAAACAGGCCTTGTAACACTTTGCACCTGCTCTTTGAAAACTTCTCAAACCCAGTGCACTTGTTCCCCACTTGTCTGGTGAACTCAACCAGTGGTCCTCTGGAGTTGGGCTTGTTTATAAGTGAGAATAGTTTTGAATCCCAGCATTTCAGAGGCCAAAGATAATCTACATTCCTATGCTGTTACTGCATTTTGTCTGGTTTGGTTTCATTGTCATCATTAATAAAGGATCAGGAACAAGACAAGAGTGTCCACTTTCACCACTATTATTCAACATAGTTTGGAAAGTCCTGTTTACAGCAATCAGAGAAGAAAAGGAAATAAAAGGAATCTAGATCAGAAAAGAAGTAGTAAAATTC